GCATAATCTTTTCCACATACTTAGAATGGTTTGGGTTGGAAGGAACCTTAGAGATCCTCTACTACCTCTTACCTGCTTGCCCTTGAATATTTGTTAACTATCGTACATGTGAATTACCCATAAGATGCTTTGACATGAGCTTTTGAAATCTATTGACTGCTGCAGTTGAAAAATAATGATAATTTTAAAAAATGTCTGTTTGTTTTGAACCTGGCTTCTGTTACCTTTGGTGTAGTGAAAGAAACGATAAACAGTCAATGACACACAACTTTGCAGATTTCTATCAAATGCCTCCTAATTAATCTGTTTTCAGGGTGACGAGTCTTAACCTGCACCACGCATGAACAAGAACTGAGAAACCTGTCACACTTAAGAGGCACTGCTAACAAAGATCCTCTCTGCAGGTGCATAATTCTGTTTTCTAAACAAAAGATGATTCTTTCACTACTCAGACTTGTTTGTTTTACAGTTCATTTTGTTTAGACTGTAGCCAAGAGGCAGATATTAGTTTATATGTTCTATATTAATTTTACAAGGAAAACTAACCTAAGAAATACTAAAGAATATAGTAAAATCAAATGCATATTACAAAACGAGAATATTTGGATAGGCAGTCAGAGCATCTCATGCACACATAGAAGCCATTAATTTGCTAATTTATCACTGATGGATCCTCAGATGAAGAATTAATTTCAATTTCTAGAAAAATGTAAACAAGTCAGAATCCAGGGGACCGTAACAGTATTAGAGGATTTAAACAGAGAAGATGGTGAAAAGATAAAAGAAACTGTACTAACTGGGTTTCTTTTCTCTGAAGCAGAGGCTGGGAACAGTTACGACAATGATCTTATGATGAGTAATAGAGCGTTATAAAAGGACAGTAATCAATAGTTTACAGTGTCCACCATGAGAAAGAAAATTTGCAGAATAACTTAGACTGGATATTACAAAGAGCTGTCTAACAGTCAGGGAGGGGAAATACCAAAATAATCTAAAGAGATCTGCAATCTCCTGCTCTGAGTGTTTTTAATATCTTCCAGGGTGGCATACTTGATACTTTCACATTCTATGGAGATAAGTAAGTGATAGTCTAAAATCCCTGTCAGCTCTGCACTTCTATGGTTTCTTATTGATGTAACATGCAGCGTTAATGGGACACAGCTGCCTAAAAGCATTTTATGAGTTCTGGTAGCTAGCCAAAGAGCCAATATATGGACCTTCAAATAGCAGGACTAGGACACAAGAGCTATTGTTTGTAGTCATATGGTTTTATTTGTATGTTACCTGGTTCAAAAAAATAAATCTTGCCTATTCACTTTTTGCCAGTCCTGTCTGTTTAAGGCATACAAAGTGGGGAAATAACATAATTGAACCTCGTATTATGAATTCAAAATTTCCAAATTGCTAAGTGCATCAGGGTCTCTCAGCACAGTGCAAACAGAATTTGGTCTTAGGAATAGGGATAATCACAACTTTGTTCCAATTAAAACATACTTCTGTGTTGTTTCCTTTGCTTAGCATTACAATTAACATGACCTAATGGGAGCTCAAGCTTCAGCATATTCCCCAGGATTATAAACATTCCAGTTCTTCATGAACTATAAAAGTCACACACCTTCCATTTGCTTGTGGCAGAATTTACTGTGATACCACAAGCAGAAGTACATAAGCACTGGCTGCTGCATCTAATGAAAACAAGGCTCAACATTAAGGCCTTCTCTTGACAGCTCTGCAGTGGCAAGTGTGAACAGTACTGTCCCACTAGATACTAACAGATGACTACTGAAAGGTATCACACTAGTGAACTTTAATTTGACAATCTAACTTCATTCTTGATACACATGTCTCATTTTAGCTTCCTATATAATTTGTGAAAAAAGGCAAGTCCTAAACTATGGACTAAACCCTCTCCATTGGGCAGACAACCAGATGTGATGCCTAACAGGCAAAGCGTGAGTCTTCTTTTGGTGCAAGCTGCCAGCATCAGGTAAAGAATATTGTAGTATGTAAGGGTTTTGTTTTACCAGGGAGCTCATTTTCTCTCATTAAGCAGGCAAAATCTTCTAACAGAAACAGATGCAAACTACTCAGTAAGAACCACTAAGAATAAATATCTAGGTAAATACTTGTAAAAAAAATTGGTACACAAAACATTTCCCTCTTCCAAGCAGATTCAAGAAGTAAAATAAAACTATACACACACCTGCCAACATCATGAGGGAGAAAAAAACCCACCATGTTTAAATATACTTCAATTAATTACTGATGTTGTGGTTAAAAAGTACTCAGACATTGTGGTAGTAATTCAGATTCACCCGGTAGCTATACACAGCTTTTACACACCTTTAAGTGGTGTGTAAAGTGACAGTTTAGTGACTGCCAGTTTCACTCCTGTGTACTGATGCACTGTCGTACAATCTGCATGTATACTATAATATTGCTGGACTGCCTTGCAGGGAAAACCAACTAATTTTCTCCAAGAGAAGAATTAACAGAACATTATCAGAGTTGCAAAGTCCGGCATTCAAAGTAAGGGAACATCAAGGCTAAAACCCGTTGTCTTTGTTTTCATTTTTACATTTGCATTGCCAATTTGCTGTATACATCTTAACATCAATTTCATTTTCTTCTTCGTTCCAACTGAATAACTCAGTCTTTCATAATTTATTCTAAAATCTGACCTATTGTTAAGGTCAGTACAATAGGCTTTTTGACACCTTCTCCCCTCCACACGTTGTAAGTATAGGTGTCCTCTTCAGTAACTCCCTAGTGAAAGTACCAGCCCGTGTGACTTACTTACTAAAATTCTTTGCTGTTGGCCTTACAATAACATTAAAAAAAAACTGTGACATGAAATTTCAGGCTGTCCAATCCCCTTGTTTTGCACATGTGTTAGGCAAAGAGAAATGTTTTCAGGGTGTAGACAAACAAGGGCAAAATTAAGGCTGCATGGGATACTTTATCTCTGGAATCTACTCATTCTGAGTTCCTGACACTGCAGAATTGCTGATGCATTTAAAATAGGTGCTGTTCACAGGTTTGAAAAATAAACTAATACCCTTCTTTTATCAAAACTTCAATTATGTGCTGCTGACACCCTCAATTCAAGTGAGGAACTATGGATCCACCACAAAGCTACATGCTGTCCCTTTTCTTACAGACTTCCTTGAGCTGCTGCTTCCCCTCACATAACTCTTCCCATTTCATCTTTCTTAGCCAGTTTTGGTCTTACTGCTTGGCCTTCTGATGCGAGTTCATCTTCTAATAGTGTGGAATGGCTTTTTCACCTTTCCAGTCCCTCCCTTAGGAAACACCTGCTTAGCTTATAGGGCCTGCCAGTCCCAGTTCTCTTCAAGCCTTATAAAATAGCCTCTTGCCTTGGTCCCTACCCAAGGTCAGGCTCTCCTCTTATTCTTTTCAGGTTTATAATCTTATAGTTTTATAAAGCATAAGTAAAGAGACAGAGCCTCTGGTCTTCATAGTGATGTCTAGAGCCAGCATAACAGCAACACTCCAGGAACTTCAGTTACAGGCAAGATCTGCTCAGCCCTGCACTTTCCCAGCTCAGGCATGCAGAGATAAACTTCAGAAAATAAGGCTGAAAACATCTAGCGAGTGTGAGCATTTTTGAATTACACGTTCTTTAAGCAGCTTACAACTTTGCCAGATTTGGGCTGATTTCACAGAGATAAAAGCTGTCCTTTAGCCAATGGCCACTTCACTTCCAAGTGTGAAGTCTCCACTCAGAAAGCACAGATGCACTCAGGCAAGAAAGTTTCCTTTAATGAGGGCCAAGAAGGAACTGAAAAAACCTTGGGCAGCCCACACAGTATACGTGAAAAATCCATTAGGGTCCACATTTTTCATATTAATACAAAGCCTACACTGACTCTCCTCCCACTAATGAAATCATGAAATGATGACCTACGGATCAAAGGTCCCACAGCTATATTTAGAGTTCCACAAACAAGAGATTATCTTTATTGTGCAAAGCAGTTTCTCTAGTCTTATTAAAACAAAATAAGATAGGGACTGATTGCAATTCTTTCCTACATGAAGCATTTCAGCCAGAATTTTTCCAACAGACCTGCAGCAGTTATGCACCCCAGCATAAGAGGAAGTCAGATTTCAACTCGGCTATAGTTTGACTATGTAGTAAACATCTGAAAACAGTCTGCAATGGGAAGTGTCAGACAACTTTACTAATAGGTGGAGCTGATATAACCACTTTATCATGGGGAAACACACTACATATGCAAGGAGATCAGTCCTAAAACAACCTCCTTCCCGTTATTGCCCTGCAGATCCAGTAGCTCCCACACTTCAAGCCACTTGAATTTTGGCAGCCCAGTGACTAACAGCCAGAGGCACAATTTCAAGCTGATGATAAAACATGAACCTCTCAAAACAACTCATAACGGCTTTTCCAGCTTGTAATTTTCAATGGGCGAAATTAACAGTAGTTGTACACTTGCTGCTACATTAAATGTTGTAAGTTATCAGTAATTTCTGGAAATTTCTCCAGACCTGAACCGGTAGCTGATACGTATTTTCTGATACACTCAATAAACAGACTTCGAATGGAGACAATGGTAATTATGTATTACCAAGGGTAAGGCTATCTCATAGGTACTTCCATAACCTAGTGCACAATGTAAAAGGCTATTTTGATGCCAGTGGGTATTTCTGCAACATGGAACTCCACAGGGAGCTGTACACAATGGGTTTTGCTTAGAGTACAGTAGACAAGCTGTCATTGCTGCTTTGGGAAAAGGGCACCCTACATCTTACTGATTATTGCTCCAGAAGCCAATTCTCCCAAAAGCAGGCTGAGAGAGTCCTGCTCTCATAGTTAGAACATGAATGCACAATGGGTACAGCACAGACAAAACACACATTGACTTACTGTATATATAAATATAGACATGCAATTAAGTCACAACAGATACGAATCAAAACAGAAACAAACAAAAAAATTACCTACTTTGACAGATTCATACCTGCAGTCTTCTCATTTTAAAGAAAAAAGCCAGGAGAGGGAATATTCAAATTTCTTGCCCATTTGGGTGGTTTCTTTGCACATGTTCCTGAATTTTCAGCTATGATGAGATCTGCTCATTGGCAGTCACCAAGAGGCTGATATGACCATGAAATGAGGAAACACAGTGAATGAAAAATGAGGTACTAGCACCACCATTTGCTGAGGGCTGGAAAAACTAGCAGAAACTTTAAGAGACCACGTAGACCTATTTCTATAGTGACAGCTGCTTTTAACTCACTTGCTATTGCTGCTATTGGAGATGCTTGATAAAAACAAGCATTAATTACTTGCCAGGAAAATCTTAATGACATCCAGATGATGATTTTTATTCCCAGCATTATAAATCTTCATGAGTAGAAACAGTTTTATACAAGGGTGGGGTTTTTAGTTATCTGAGCTAAACAAAAATATTACTGACATCTAACCAGTAAATCAGTGAACATATAGTGGCTGGCAAAGGTGGTCTGAAATGGTTCAAGACAATCCCTATGCCCCAAGAAAACACATCTTTTAGTCACCTTTGCCATCCCAACACTAAGAAATCTGAGGTTTCTGCAAATTAACCCTGGAAGGGGTAAGCTCTCCTTCTGCCAGTGGGGCCTTTCCCTATGGCACATGGTGTTTCCATTTTTGCCTCCTGTTTACCAAAGCGATTTAAGTTTGCTTCTAGGAAAGAGGTGGCCTGTGAAACAGAAGAGCAGCAACAAATCTGATTTAAGCAATTTAAAAGAGCACAGACTGATTTTAAAAGATACTTAAGATTTCAAAACCTTTATTGCAAAGTGCAAACGAGATCAGAATTGATGTAGACTTTTAAAATCTCATTGGCTTCTACTTGCTCTGCTGCCTGCTACTGTCATTTTGCTCCTCTTGAGCAACAGATGTAACTGTTATAGATGACAGCTATCAAATAAATCCATAAAAATGGATGCATTAAGCCTTTTACTGTTTCAAGGAAAAACAACTGTGGAGAGGTAATGCTTTAATGTGACACAAAAATAGCTCTACAATATTTTTTTTATTATTTGGGTTTTTTTTCAGAATTAATAGAAACATTTCTATTGCACTAATACATCGATAAACATTTCTGTTATCAAGACATTACTGTTGGTCCAAATGACCTAGTGAATGTCCCTTTTACAAAGTTTTTATAGTTACATTGATCGATGCAAGTTAAGTTCAGAAGGGGGTGAGGAAGAAAAACTAAAGTATATCTTCCTCCACCTTTTAACTGTTTCCTGGAAAGTATTTAGACTAGGCTCACCACCCCAAGATTATTGTTGCAAATCTGTAGTTTAATTTCTTCTTCTGCCAAAGTATTTCCACAAAGAGCACACTTTTATCATCCAAACGCTTCATAAAGCAGATACCTGAAGCTACCAAGCTTCCACATACCAGTGCGGATTCTGGTTCCCCAGCATCTCAAGATCCCCAAGAAATCTCTCGCAGTTACAGCCTCAGCTTACTTGGGTTAAGAAAGCATCATCTACATTTATTTCGAAGATTTATTTCTCAATTCAGAATTGAGAAATAAAATAAGTGCACACTAGGTGATGCAGAACAAAGTTGAGAAAAGAGTTCTTTAAAGAGAACTATTGATTATGGCCTCCTATTTAGCTGGTGTCACCCAGCAAAACCCTGTGGAAAAAAACCAAAGCTGAAACAGCTTTGACATGTACAAGTTGAGGCCTTTGCCTTAGATACACAAAAGGACACAGACAAATATTTATATTGTTTATACAGAGACACAATGGAAACAAAGCAGGCAAGCACTGGCCTTTTTTTTTTTAACTGATCTTTTGGATCAGAAGGTTTCAAATATTTCATGTCTTTTGTCTAACTTGTGCAGTTCCATGGCATCAAAATGGATTTAAAGATATTGCTTTCTTCAGAAATTTTCTCCATCTCAGATTTCTCTCTATTGTGTAATCATTTTTAAAGCCACCTTAAAAACCATCCAGTTCTTGGAGAAGTACTGTCAGCACTTGTCAGACTCCACATTGTCATGAACTGTTTCAGTATACAAAACACATTTTCCAGTCTTTGCATAGTTCCATTTCCCCTGGTCCTGTTGGCTGAGCAGTTGTTCTTCTTTTAGATCCTTTTGACTCGGAAATTGTATTCACACAGTTCAAACCAACTCAAATCAAAAAATCACTGCATGCTTTCAATTATATGTTGACACACATGCTCACCACGAGTGGCCTTCATTTCCCTTATAGGGCAGGAAAATCCTTAAACCGTATCTCTCAAATGTCTCCAAAATGCTCATCCGCTGCCGCAAGTCACAGCTGACAACCACATTGCCCAAACTCTTTGTCTGAAAGATTTGGTAGTCTTTCCCAATCTGACTAGTTTTTTGCATCTTTGCTAAACATTTTCAGACCCAACTTCAAATGTCACTACACCATGCAGCCAGCAAATAATCCGTCTCCCTGCTCCATTCTTTCACACATGCACATATATATTCTCCATGTAGGCAAGACACATACAGACATGGTATAGTGGTATATATTTTTTGTTTCTTTTTTCTAACCCCTTGTTTCTGTAATTCTCCCTTCCCTTCAACAGCTGCACTCTGACTTTAGAGTAACATATCTAACTATCCTGAGGTATAAGTCAGCTGTGGAAAGCACATTTTAAAACTACTCAGTGTATATGCACAAAAGATACAGGGGCCACAAAACAGAAAACCAGGAGTTATGTCTGGGGTTTGTAAATGACCAGACTCCACACCATAAGCAGGCAGTAAGATTTTCTGATGCCAGGCCAGAATTGTTTGTGTCTTTCCCCTTTCCAGGTTGAGGAAAGTTTGCAATAGTCATCATCACTCGTACACATGCATTCAGAAGGAAACCAGGCTAAAAAAAGAGACGTATCATTAGGAGCTTCTGCACTGTTGCTGTTTTTTGTTTCTCATTTCAGGGGTAGGCCACATGTTCCACACCCCTGAGCCTCTGGGGTTGGTGAGGGAGACACAATTGCAACTGAAGGATGCGAGTCCAAGAAAACAACTTCTGGGTGGATCTGAGGGACAAAGCCCTTCCTTTACAGCCGCATGAGGCAAGTGCTAATGGGACAACTATCAGGATGCAAACATTCAGCTGTTCTCCCCACATCCCTTTGGTGACACTAAGGACAAAGAAAGGAGCAAATATGGCACAAAACCCCAAAGGTCTAGCAGACAGTGGAAAGCCGGGGTAGAACAAGCTACCAAACATCCTCTGTAAGCCCCAGTGACACCGAAAGTGATTGATGACAGCTAAAACTGCAGTCTTCAGGCCCCAAAAAACTGCCAGCTTGACTCCCATCAAACCACTTTAGAGAACTTAGGTAAAAATCTGGCTTCACACATGCTATTCCCCGAGAGCCACACATACGTATACAAGTACTACTAACATGTGAGTCTATACTCCTGTATGCATTCATAGCGCTATGTCACTACATAAACTGAAGAAAACTATCACCTTGCTTGTTTGGCAGCCTACAGGTATCAACATCTTCTTTACAGTAATGCTGAAGTGAGGGTTCTGATCATAAACAAGCCCATAAACCAGAAACACTTCTGTTTTTCTCCAGCTTAATAATGGAACAGAAGTAGAAAATAAAACAATCAGGATTTAACAAATGACATTAAACTTGTATTTTCAGACTGCTGAAGCTGGCACCATTTGAGCAATGGAAGAATTAGCAGGCATTGTCAGTAATCACTTATTTACAAGAATCATGTAAGCAGATATATTCAGCATTATTACTGAGGATTTTTATGCAGTGTTTTCACACTGGATTTATGTAATTTATTCTGTGAAGCTACACATAAAGCTCCCATCTCTATTAAAAAAATATTACATTCCACCTTACAGGCAGAGTAAATCTTCAGTCCTTTAAGATCTTTGTAAAATCATGACAGTGGTTTTCGCCTTTATTTGAAGGGGAGAGCATGGATGTAAAAAACATTGCCCTTACAAAAGAAGTAACTCAGATAAAGGATGCCAAAACTGTGGAAAGTAAGGACAAAAACATGGCTAAAGACACCCACAGCTTAGCAGTGGGAGCAGCTTCACTCTTTCAAACAAAGAATGCACATTTCAAGTACTTTTTAAAAGAAAAATGGGTGTTAAAAGTATAAATACATAATTTACCTATTGGCAGGACATCCAGTTTGTGTGATAGCTTTATCTGGGTGCTCTGGGCTCCCAAAACTTCTACAACAGCAAGAGCTACATGCATCTTGAAATACTATTTGCTCCCTGGCGTGAAGAATGCTGCAACAGACAAAATACTCCCTCAGGGCAGACATGGCATGGAGAGATTTAGATAAGTGTGGTGATGCAACTATTCACTGGAGCTAAACGTGTCCAGCTGATGGTATCACAGGCAATTGCATTTAGAGGATGGCCTTTTTAAATTATTTTCTTAAAAGGAAACCCCTAACCAGGAACTTGAGGGAATTTCTCTGTACTGATAAATTATTCCTGTGCAAAATTCCTTGAGTAGGAAAGTTATTCTACCACTGTCCACCACCTGTGGTACCCAGCGTGGCCCTTTCCTTCAGTAAACTCTGGCTCAAGAGTAGCTATCAATCACCTTTGCTGCTGCAGGTCCCACAGTTATGTCTGCTGGTCCAGCTCTCTACAAAGTTAAACCAGTTCAAAATCTTTTCAGATTTAGGTAAACATAAAGCAGTTAAAATTTTATTCCACAATCTGAAATGTAAATCTCTACATAAAATAATTGCCTATTTTAGGAATAGTCTCCATATTCCTTTTTTCTGCCCCTGTCGGTTTTATTCAGCCAGTTTACACGTCAGGAAAAGTTGTTTGACTAAATTAAAAGTAAGCAACATTTTAAGCATATAATTTTATTTAAACTAAGTTTGTACTGTCAAGATACCTAAAGGATCACCTATGAACAGTAAGTATCACTAGGAAGGTTGATACTAATATTTTCACATAAGATTCCATTAAAGGTTTTGTAATTGATGCACAGCAGATGCATCTATGCAAATAGTGTGTATTTTCCTTTCAAAACAACAAATGAACTTATGACTGCCCAGGTCACTTAGTTT